TCTTAGTAAGTCTCCAAGTGGCTGTCCAGGGCTGGGGTAGCTGCTCAGCAATGTCACCAAGGATTTGGGCAAGTGTTTTCTCTTAGCACGCTGGCTTCTTGCATCACGATTACAAAATCACTGCTTTAGCTTGTGGTGTCACAAGGTTATTCCAGGGCAGGTAACCAAGACACCAGGGATCAAAACTGGATGCATTTGTTTACAAGAAAAAGGCAGAAGCTCTTAAAGCCATCTTCTGCTGAAGCCTCACTGCTCACAGCTGTGGTTCTTGGTGAACTCAGTGACTTCTCCAGCTCCTTCAGTTGTGGTGGATGAAAGAAGAGGGCACAGATGAATGGGTTTGAGTTAAAGACCGCAGTCTGCCACATGGCACAGCCAGGACGCTGGGGAGCAGAGGAGCTCTGAGTGAAGTCCCTGAGAATGTACGCTGTTGACAGGAGCACACTACGTCAAGATCCTTTGACTTGACTATGTCAAGGCCCTTTCCCGTGGAAATGGTAAATCTCCCCTAGTCCGAGTGTAAATAGTGTGTGCAGAAAATGTCTAACCATAGCACCCCATCCCCCTGTCTACGAATTGGAGATGGCTTCCCTACTGAGGCTACTTCCTCCAGAGATTAGCTAATTGAAGAAGGCATGGATACAGATGTGACGTCTCTTTGCTCCAGCTGTATATCATAAAGGCTGCTTCCTTGTTCAGCTGTATATAGTAATTTCACCTCTCTGTTCACCTCTATAATATGATGAGTTTCTGGGGTGCTGTAGCTTCTGCATCAGAGAGCCCAGTCCACCTCAAACCAGATGTTTCTGTCTGTGTGTCTGTTCTTTATTCTGTCACCACTCCTAGACAGATCAAGTGCCTGGAGGCCATGCAAAGGCCAGTTCAGCGTCTCTTCATCTTTAAGCATAAAGGTAAACCTAGAGTGTGTGTGTGTGTGGGGGGGGCATAGTGGTGAATACCTTTAATTTGGAGGCAGAGGCAGGTGGAGCTCTGTGAGTTCCAGGACAGCCAGGGTTACACAGAGAAACCCTGTTTTGGAAAACAAAAAAGTTAGTTATAACTTATTATAAAGCCCTTCTGAGGGTGGTTAGGCCGGTGCAATCCAGCTGCCCACTCTGCCCCCTCGGTTTCACCTCTCTTCTGAGGGAGCTAGTTTCTACTGTGGTGCTGCTGTTCTGGGGGGCTCCTCACTGTTTGCTGGACTCACAGGAAGGTCACGCCGGTCATTCCAGCTGGGCTCCAAAACCAGGACCATGTTTTTAGAGACCCTGGCTTCCTCAAACACTCCCTAGAGACGTGCTTGTTTAGGTTTTATTCTCAACGCCCGGAGCTCTGTTCTAGAATATTCCCCTAGGTCAAGGTTTGTAGGTATGTTTGTTTTAAGCATCTGTGCCTTGACAGCTGGTTGGTCAACAGCATGAGCAGTGACTCACGCTAGCCTGAATCCAGTCTCCGCCCACAAACTCCGTCCTTCAGGGTCACCAGCCTGTCCCTCAGGCCTGTAGTCGCCCCCCTGAGGCGCATCGCTCAGTTTATCCCCCCCCCAAACGCCTAAAAATATGGCCCCACCCCAATTTGTCCTAAGCCCCGCCCACGACCCAGCCGCCCCGCCTACCGCTTCTCCTCCAGATGCTCCAGGAATTATTGCTCAGCCTGTTCAGAGAAGCTGCCTGAGCATTAGCGTTGAGATGGGACGCCATGAAGAGATGGCTGCAGCTACTTCTGCCCCTTGTTCTCTCCCTGCAGGGCTTTCTTTCCCAGACTCTCATGCACAGCTGCACGACGACCATGCCACAGGGTCAGGTGAGCTGCCTGCAAAAGGATCCTCTCCCCTCCCGCTGGGCTGCCCTCCCTGCCACCCTGCCAGGGGCTCCTGGGTGCCTTGACAATTGCTAAAGTACTGGCTGACCAAGACCACCTTAAAGGCTGAAGGGATACTGATCCATCCATCCCCTTCCACGGCTTTCCTTCAGCTTCTAGGGAAGGGAAACCACTCAAGAAAAGGAATTAGGGGTTGATCAAAGTCTGGCAAAGCTAGGCACAGAAAATGATGCTGTCTTTAAAAATCCAAAACATATTCATTTCCTATGAGAGAAATGTATACAGCAAGCCCTGGGAATAATTTACCTACAACTTATGTCCTTTATTGATACCCCTTTTTGGCCTCTAGGATATGGGTCACATTTAAAAAAAAAACCTCATTTTGAAATGAAAAGAAATTGCTATTTGAAAATTTTTCTGAAGGTAGCTGTAATATAAAGTGTAATCTCAAACTGTCCCCCATTTAGGAAATGGCAACTGAGAGTTTAGAAGCAGACTAAAAGCCAGTGGCAAAGTGCAGCTCAGAGTCCATCCACTCTTGCTCTGTGCTGTAAACCTGTCATTTAGGCCAATTGGCTATTCTCCATGGCCTTCCCTGAGCCAAATTAATTGGAGACTAACACCCTGGCCACACGTTAAATACACACGCTAACAGAAGCTGATGTGCAAAGGTCTGTGCACGATTTCCTGTTATCCATCCCCAAGGACATGCAAAAGAAATCTCTAATCTGTCAAACCATCAGGTGGAGCACTCAGGGAGGCAGAAGCAGGAAGATCTTTGAGTTTGAGGCTAGCCTGGACTACAGAATGGGTTTCAGGACAGCCAGGACTACACAAAGACTATATCTTGTCAACCAGGTCCCAAGTCTGTAATCACTACCAAGGAAAATGAATACCTAAGTAATAAAACTTCATTGAGTCTCTGATGCTTTTATTACAAAAGAAATCAACATAAACTAATGGGCCATCTGGCGTCGTGTTTCAGAAATGGATGCATCAAGGTTTGATGGACGTAGCTTCCGTTCTCTGAATGAAGGCCCGTCTGAGGCTCTGGTTCTAATTTTACTCTAAGTATGCTTTATTCTAGAAAACAGTTCACAAAATTAGGCACTTCCCAAAGGTGATGCCATGAATAAGATGTCATTATTATTATTGTTGTTGTTGTTTTTTCAAGACAGGGTTTCTCTGTGTAGCTCTGGTCATCCTGGAACTTGCTCTGTAGTCATCAGCCTTGAACTCAGAAATCCTCCTGCCTTCTGAGTGCTGGGATTAAAGGCCTGCTCCACCACTGCATGGCCTAAGGTATGATCTTGAAGAGGTCTTGTTTCTGGGAGATAGGACCTAGAAAAGTCTAGTAAGGAGACAGAATCATGTTTTCTCTAAGTCACCTCTCAGGCCTCAGCTCCACGCATTCCATTTGAAACGTGGCAAGAATCGTTTATTCACTAACATTGGAGTAGCAAATATATCAAAATATTTTCTCGGAAACCTGAAAATATTTTCAAACTCTTGCATCATATTCAAAGCAAAAAATATATACTTTTTGATGTTCACAGGACTGTGTTTAGCCAATATATCAAAATGCATGAAATCATTTGCCTTAATTTGGGTTCGCTGTGATTTTAGTTTTGATGTGGGGTGCTGCGATGATTTCAGACACTGAATGGTAAACTGTTTCACCCTGAGGATCCATAGTTAACTCACTGAAATTGTGAGGCTGAATGAGCTATTAAAATCAGATTTCAGGCTGAAGAGATGGCTCAGCAGTTAAGAGCACTGACTGCTCTTCCAGTGGTTCTGAGTTCAATTTCCAGCAACCACATGGTGGCGCACAACCATCTGTAATGGGATCTGATGCCCTCTTCTGGTGTGTCTGAAGACAGCTATAGCATACTCATATACATTAAATAAATAAAAAGGAAATTCTTTTTAAAAAATCAGTTTTCATTGTCAAATTCTGGCACACATGATGTTTCTAATATCATAAACAACTTGATAGCATGCTGCAAATCATGGGATATTTTCAGCATTTGGGGAAGTGATAGAAGGTTCTTACTGCTCTTACAGAGTACCCAGGTTCTCAGAAATCCACATAGTAGCTAACAACTACCTGTACCTCCAACCCCAGGGGCTCTGATGTCCCTCCTTCGTCTCCCTGGGCACCAGAAAGGTATAGACAAACACTCATACAGATGAAATAAATCTAAAAATTATATTTTCAGTATTTGGTCACCATTTGGTCATCTCATTTCCAAAAAGTAAATGATGTTGACATAGTCAGCATTAGTACTTTTTTAAAAAAAAGATTTATTTCTTATTTATGGGTATACTGTAGCTGTCTTCAGACACACACTAGAAGGATGCATTGGATCCCGTTACAGATGGTTGTGAGCCACCGTGTGGTTGCTGGGATTGAACTCAGGACCTCTGGCAAAGCAGTCAGTGCTCTTAACTGCTAAGCCATCTCTCCAGCCTTAGTACTTTTAAAAAAAGGTTTTATGTGAATGTGTTTGCCAGCATGCATGTATGTCTGTGTACCACATACATATGGAAGACCCCCAGGGGCCAGAAGAGGGAGTTATATCTCCCGGAACTGGAATTAGATAGTTCTGAGCTGCCATGTGGGTACTGACAACCCGACCGGGGACCTCTGGCAGAGCAGCCAGTGCTCTTAGCAGCAGAGTCATCTCCCAAGCCCCTGCCAAGCTTTTTTAAAGTTTCTGTATTACTGTAGTTCTTCTGTGGTATCTGAAGTTGATTCAAGTAATTAAAAGTCAAGCATCAAGACAAAAGAACCACTTTAGAATAGGACCCCGACCCCCATGGCAGCCTCCACTGGACTGTATCTAACTTTCACATTCCTCTTCACTCCTCAGCTGTAAGGCAGCTACTGTTACCTCTCGCCTCTTCTCACCAACTCTTCTTAACCTTTCTTTTCCATTTGCCTGGCTCTAGGACATCTGGGAGGAAGGCAGTCAAGAGTTTGTGGCATGCTTGCAAGATTAGTAAGTAACAGGGCTCGAAAACCAAAGCTAGTAATGTCAGGGGAAAGATGTTCTGGAGAAAAGTTCATTACCTAAACAACTTCCAGCAGCTGCAAGAAAAAGGAGTTCACAACAAACCCTTGATCACACAAAATGCCGAAAAGTATTCTGAAAACATGCTTTGGGAATCTGCTGTACAGTTTTAAAAAAAAAACAATTTATTTATATATTGGCTTCTACATGCTCTTACATTTATGTAAAATATTTATACATGTTCTTTACAATTTGTACATATATTAAATGGCTGTATCATAAACACTGTTCTATGGAATTTTATAAAAGAAAAATCAGGTAGGGGAAAATGACTCAGAAAACATCAACAAGCCCCTGATATCAAGGAACAGAACGTTCTCGTGCCCACGCGCACTGCATTTTCTCAGCTGCTCATTTTTGGTTTCATTCATTTATGTTGGCCCAGACTTCCCACCTCTATAATATAATCATCAGATCAGGAAAGTGACAGCAGAGGATCACATCGTAAGGCAACTGTGGAAGGGGACCACTGTCTGCAGGGAGGTGACAGCGTGTGCTCTGTGCTCTCGGGCCACGTGCTGGGGTCAGCAGTCTCTGAAGGCTGGGACAAAGCCACAGACAGAGTCGTTCTCTGCTTGTCATCAGCTTGCTACCTCACCCTGCAGCTCACTCTTCCCCTTGACTTCCCCAGTCTCTGGGAGGGGAACCGGTGCTCAAGTCTGCTTTGTCTTTTGAGAGAATACTGACCGGCCTAGCCTGCTGCTCCAAGCCAGGCAGCCACCAGCACCTCCTCTATCAGCAGCTCCTGTCCCTCACCTAATAGACAGCTGAGGGACCGAGAGTGAGGAGCGGGGGCTCCTGGAATCAGGTTGGCCACCACCTGGGGTAGCGGGGACAAGTCCCCTTTTCTGACTTACTCTTCCAGTGTAAAACATGACGCCTTACCGTGAGCTAAGTGCAGAGAATGCTGAATTTACCTAAGAGCAGCTCAGGGAGCCAACCTGGGCAGCAGTGGGTGGGTGGGTCTTCTCACCTGCTGTGCCCACTGAATGGGACTTCTGGTGGTGCCCACCACGAAGCCTGAGGGTGTAGGCCATCTGGGATCCCTGACTCCCCATCTTGGGAGCTCTTGACTGTAGCTACGCCAGTGAGGGTGTGCAGACTCCCCTAAGCAGACAAGGGTCCCCACAGGACTGAAAGAGTTATAAAAATATACAAAGATATAGATTTTATTCTGCCATTTTTCATATTTTTAAGAAAGCAATTAGTATTATCTGACATTGGTAAGAACTGGAAGATCATATAGGTAATGTATAAATTACGATTCTATGTAAAATACCAGGAGGAGGAATCCCTATTTCTTCATTCAAAATCTTGATAAATTTAAGTATTTTCCAAAAATAGACATTTCCATTGGATAACTAATATGTTGAAATGAAACAAGGAAGGCCATCCTAAACAACAAAACGCATTTAGGCTGGCTACCGATGAAACAGGTTTTATCAGCTTCTTTCTTTTTGGTTTTCTTCCTTTCCTCTCTTTCTCTCTTTTATGATGGGGGAAAACTGAATTGCATTGCCCCAGGTCAAGAAGAAGCACTTGGGAGTTGTCTTGTGTTCCGTTCTGGTCTACATAACCGGGAACCGGCCGAGGGCCTGCCTCAGCTTTTCTGCGATCTGGTAAAAAAACAGAGCAGTTGAGACATTTCATCCTGAGCTATTATGGCTGCACAGTGTTCCATCCGCCCTCTTCTGAGTTAAATATAACCTTGTCAAATCCATTAACTGTTAGTCTCTTCTGCAGCCACTGGGACTCTGTGCTGGAGGACCTTCGCCATCACAGCCCTGCTGTTCTCAGTGAGTTCCACAGTGTGTGAGAAACCCTGCTGCCTGTCCCTACCTGCCCAGCCAGGCCCTGACTGATGGTGGGGGCTACATTTTCAGGGAAGCCCCTTCTCCTCCACAAAGCAGGACGATGGCTTGGACTACCAGGCCTGCCTAGAGTCCCCTTCCTTTCTGGACAAGTATGAACACTCAAGACTTCCTGTGGAGGGTATATGAAGACTGCATCTCTGACAGCCCCGGGTGCACTGTGAATCTATTATGTGCCTACACTAGGTACCCTTAAAGGCTCAGATTCCTTATTCATCTTGGGACCTTAAACTTTGGAAGTAGGTACAAGTATACAGTAGGTACTCATACATGTTTGCTCCATGTACAGAAATGTAAGTTTGAATAATTTAAGGGATATTTTGGTATAAGACAACAGTGAGAACATACATGGTTTTCTATGTTGAATTACAAAGTCAATAATTACAGCACTGTGGACTGGGTAACTAATAAATCCACAGCATGAAAACCTTGACATCGCCTTCCCAATGTCTTCTCAGAGACACATGCAACCTACTGTGTCTGACACACAGAGGGACCAAGCCTGGCAGTGACAGGAAAGCTAGAGACAGAGAGCCATTGTGACAGAGAGCGCTCCTGAGTGAGTCATCCCATGAGCGTGCCTCCCAACCAACTGCTGCCACGATTACACACAAGATACACGTGTTTACATTCATGTGTTTTAAATGTAAACACATGTACCTTAAGCGTAATTGTGAATCGTGTGTTGGCAGCCTTTTCCAGAACTCACAAGGTGGTTTTGGCAGAGTGCAAGCCAAAAGGGATGACACATGCAGAAATGTGCGCTGAGGGCTAGCCTGTATCTCTGAATGCACGGAGGCAATGGCCTGGCTGAGCACCAAGGCTACCTCAAGTGCTCACTGTTCCTCTGTGCTGCCCTGCAGGCCTGAGTTCCAGCAATGGCGTGTGGAAGTGTGTACTGAAGGAAAACACCACAAGGCAGAGGAAGGGAGGGTTTACGTTTTGTTTAGTTTGCTGAATGAAAATATTTAAAACATTGTGTTATTTTGGTTTTCCTGAAGAGACTTCTTTGGTAACTGTGAAACCTGGGTCACAAGCAAAGGCTGCCTTTGGTTCCTTCCCTAGTTGAAGAGGACACAACTTGTGGGTTGCCAGGGGGACCTTAATCCTTTGGCACTGTCCTTGTGCATGGAGAGGCTCAGAAGGAAGGAAGCCACACAGTTGGGACTGCTCAAGGCTTCAAATCTAGGAGCCAACGTCTGCTCTTCAAAGGGAAGCTTAAAATTTTCCAAAAATGACGTGTATTGATTTTATTTTCCATGTGGATCTTCTGCCACAAGTATGTGTATGTGGCATGTGCGTGGGTGGTGCCCGCAGAGGTCAGAAGAGGGCATCAGATCGGGAGCTGGAGTTATGGGTGACTGTGAGCCACAGTGTGATTGACAGAAACTGAACTCAGGTTCAGTGATAGCAGCAAGTGCTCTTAACCACTAAGCCATCTCTCCAGCCCCAGGAAAGCTTTTTTGATCCAGTATTCCTCAGATGGAATTTTAAAAGATTAAAAAAAAAAATTAAACCACTAAACTCTGTTCAAAACGTAACTCCCTTCGGTTTATCACTCATGAGTAAAGATTACAACTGACCAACTCTATCTAGTCCCGGTCACTAGGTGTGAAGCCGTCTCCTCACACACCTCCGTGGGAGGGGCTTGTGGGAGGGGCTCGTGGGAGGAAGGGGCACTCACTGTCTCGTAGAACTGCACTTGCTGTTCCAGGTAGAGGCGGATGACGCTGTTGTAATCATAGATCCGGTTACTGTGGAAGTGATTCATCTCAGCTACAACAAAAGTATCACAGGGCTTAGGTCCCAGCAAGACTCTGAATGACAACATGACATTTCTTTGCTTGGCTAAGACTCGTCCTCAGCAGGACTTAATCTGGCTGTTTCTATGCAGTGCCAGGTCTCAGCCCAACGCTATCAAGAGCCGAGAAACACAGGCTGACACCAGCAGCAAGTGCCACTGTCTAGTAATGGATGGCTGTCATTGATTAGCATGCTGAATTCCACTGCCAGCCTCAGTCTGCCAAGGCACGTGTCTGCCAGCCTTCACCAGACACAGACATGGCCATTTGCTGCCCTTGTCGCTCTGACACACACACATCTCTAGAATTAATCAGCTGTTTTCTTCCTACTAACAGTAAATGACATCCAGAAGCCTCCGTTAGACTCCATGGTCCCTGAGCGGAGCACAGAGGTACAGACCTCTAGAAGCTGCCGACAGTAGGTGTGATGCTGTGGGCTGCGAGCGGCTCTCCCTCCCTCCAGAGTTACTCGCGACCCTTCCTCTTACCTTGTAAAGCATAGGACATGGTGCCAACTCGCTTCACCATCGTCTGCTTGTCTTGGGGGGTGATTTTACTAGTTGCAACCAGCTTGTCACTTTCTTTCACCTTTTCTATTGCTCCCTGGAAAACATACATGTAACAGAATTTAAGAAGACAAAGCAAAAAGCGCTAGTCATCAGCTTAAGATGTAACCATGCCGACGCTCTGCAGGCCTGGTACAGAGAACATCCCAGGCCAACTCCCTCCAAGTCCTCTGAAGCCAGAGGCTGCTGCTCCTGAAAACTGCAGTGAAGCTAGAGCTTCAGTGCTATACACCGCCATAAGAGAAACAAACGGAACTCTGCCCATGTATGATTCTGCACTGTTGGTGTCAAGAGTACAGAGAGAAGGGCATGAGAGGCTAGAATGCCACTGACCTCAAACTCACGGCTGGGATTACAGGCATGTACCACCACACTCAGCTAGGGTCTTTTCTCATGGATAAACATAGGATCTAAGCCCCCGCAGCAGTGCTGTGTGCTGCAGTCTCTCCGAGCACTGTGGCTTACCTTGTGGGCACCAATGATGTCTGGGAAGCAGCCGAGAAAGCCTTTGTACTCGTGGTTGCACTCCATCAGGAAGTGGAGGTCCTTCTTTGGCTATAAAGAGACACAGGCTGGCTGTTACTGGTGCAGGGATTTAGAAAATCAGGGAGAAGAAACTAATGAGGAGCGATGGCCACATCCTCTTGTATGAGAGTGGTGAGTGCTGCTTCTTTATTGGGATGCTTTCACTATTTCGGGTCTGGCTGGCCTGGATCTAACTAAGTAGACCAGGCTGGTCTTGAACTCACAGAGATCTGCCTGCCTCTGACTCCTGGGTGCTGGGATTAAAGGTGTGTGCCATCGTGTCCATCCATGGCCCCACACTGGTGCATCAAGTCTCTGCAGGATTAGGTGCGTCCTCTCCCACTGAGGCAGACATGGTAGCCCTCTGCTACATATGTGCTGGGGGCCATTTTTAATCAATAAAATATAGGGATAAAATTATAGCAAGCAAAACTGTTTCAGTTTAATGCCTAGATTTTAATAGACAACATAAAGATATCACCTACACTTCTGAGCTTATCTAAGGCACATCACAGATGAGGATGGCAGGCTTAGAGCGGGCAGGCGGCAGCGCACGGTCTAAGCCAGGGTTCCTCGCCATTCTAGTCTACGGCTGAGAGTGGATCAGAGGCACTGACGCCAACTCAGCTCACACCTTTCCCCAAACCTCTTTTTTGGAAAGTGTTGGGATCAAATTCTGGGCCTTACAAATATGAATAGCAATCTCGGCCAATTAACACTGAGCTACAGAGCCCTACCTCAATTTAGAGTCTTCTTCTTTGTCTTTTTGAGAAACATCTTTACTCTGTAACTGATATCAGCTTAGAACTCACCATGTAGCTCTGGCTAGCCTTGAACTCAACGCTACCCCCTTACTCCAGCCTCCCAAGTTCTAGTACTACAGGTGTAAGCTGCGTGGCTTCATGTGGATTGCTTAATGAGATGTCTGTACACTGTGGCTTAACTGAAAAAAAAACATTACCACTAAATAAAATGAATAAAAAGCCACAGGAATGGAAAGTGGACAGCTGTCTGGGTTTAAGTAACAATGCGTGACTCCCACAGTACCTGCTCTGCCACAAGGCCGGCGATCTCCTCATATGTCTTCCCGGCTTCTGTGATTGCATCATTAAGGTCGGTCTCTCCTAAAACAGATAGCAGTCGTGGAAGCCACTGTGCTACATATATTTTCCCTACACTTATGGATTTTGTTACAGACTTTATTGATAGCTTTTAGTGTAGAAAATTTTAAAACTGTCACAGTTGGTGAGAATCCCCAGCCCCGGTTCCCAGACGGCAGCAGATCGTGGCTGTGCTGTTTTTTAATGCTGACTTGACATAAACTGTAGAGTCAATGGGACAGTAAACCTCAGCTGAGAAAATGTTCCTATTAGGTTAGCCTCGGGTGCATTTTCCTTACTAATGATCAATGTGTGATGGCCCAGCTCACTGTGGGTGGTTCCACCCCCTAGGCGGCTGGTCCTAGGTGCTATACAAAAGGAGGCTGGGCTAGCTGTGAGGCACAGGCCAGTAAACAGAGTTCTTCCATGGTGTCTGCAACAGTTCCTGCCCCGACTTTCCTCAATGATGGCCTGAGATGTAGAAGTGTAAGCTAAAAGAAATGCTTTCCTCTAAGTGGCTTTTAGCCACGGTGTTTGGTCACAGCAAGAGAAGCCCTAACTAAGACAGTGACCAGCTTTTCCCATGTATACCCTGTGTGCCCTGTTTCTCTTTTCTTGGGACACACATCATTTTATGTGCAATCTTTACTTAACGATAAGGAACATTTAAAGACCATGGCCACTGTGCTGCACACCTAGGGAAAGTCATCGCTCTGTTCTCAGGAGGAGCCAGGGTGTGGGCCTCCAGCACCTCAGGCAGGCTCTGTGAGAGCCGGGGTGCAAGAACAGTGCACACCCAAGACAGGATGGTGTGATCCTTAACTTGGGGCTCTTATCATCCCTGTCTTTTTGTGGGGTGTTAGGAAGATGAGTCATGCATGCCCTTTGGTCCACTCTAGACTCAATTTCTGTGGTGACACATGCTCTTCTATCCCTCTCTTGCCCTCACATGGGCCACCAGGCCTGGAGGCTTTACCAGATCCAGAATCAGTTCCTAGCTGAGTCTAGTTCTCACACTTCCTGAAGCAGCCTCAGTCATCTATGACAGAAGTTCCCCTCTGCCATCATTCCTTTGTTCCTTGTTGAAATGCTTCTATTAGAAAGCCTTGCTTTGCCAAGCCTCTGCCCACCACCAAGCGGCATCTGGACAGGGAAAGCAGCACCAGTGCTTGGGTCCTTCGTTACAATTCCAGAAGTGCAGATGGAGTCCACACTCCCCCAAAGGCACTGGGATGACATTCCAAGTATCTTATTAATTCTGGTGTGCATATGTGTGTTATGCTTCATTCCACGGCAATTACTATTTTCAGCAATGGCCCAATTTTCTTCCTTTGGCGAGGGAAGGTGCCTCAGATGGACATCTGAGGGAGCCCCCTGGCTCACTTTGGTGAAGAGGGCCAGGAGACATGCTGTATGGACTCCTTCGTGTAGGAGCTGTCTTTACGCCTTCTCATGTTTGTCTTACCAAAGACATGTCCATGGGGGGCTCCCCACGACCATGGAATGTTTCACAGTTTGGCAGGGTCATGGCAGCAATTCTTACACTGTTCTAGTGTTACAATCCATACTACTGTGGATGCAGCCAGAGACTTCTCTGATGCAATTAAGGCAGCCTTGGGAAGCAGGCTCATTTACATGACTAGAAGAGCAAGCTGTGCAGCATTGCTCTGGGATAGGCAGTGCTCACCACCAATGAGCACACGCTCTTAAAACAGATGCCAACTGGAGGGACTTGAACAGCTCTTTAAAAACAGCAGTTTTAATAAACTTAATGACATAAGTCATAAAATATACTGAGCACGTTTAATACTTGCTAGAGTGCCCCATGCAATATAAGTATCAATTGCTCATTGATTGACAATGGTGGCAGTACCAACCGACGGTGCCCTCAGCAGGCGCCCTGAGCCTCATTCCACTGCACTTCTCTCTCCTCTGCTCAGGAAGCTCATGAGCTCTAAAGCACAGCAGGGTGACAGTTCACCAGAGCTTACTGTATGCTTTATGGGGACCCACAAGAGAAAATACCTCTAACCCTCATATGTGCACCATATAACGCACACGAGTGCTCGAGTAATTCACGGAGGGCAATTACTGTGCAGCTCCTCACAAGGAACGTTACAAACAGCTACAGTCGTACCTTGATAGCCGCTGGAGCTGAAGACTGCTGCTAAGCTCTGCAGAGCCTTCCCTATCTTCTGATACTCCTTGGGTAAGGCTGGAAGGAATTGATAACTGATTAGTTCCCAGAGCAGTCTGAAGTGCACTGACCGTTCTCTGTCAGTGACTCAGATAAAAAGACATTCAAATGATTGAAAATAGCATCTATTCTTTTTTTGTTTGTTTGTTTGTTTGTTTGTTTTTGTTTTTCGAGACAGGGTTTCTCTGTGTAGCCCAGGCTGTCCTGGAACTCACTCTGTAGACCAGGCTGGCCTCGAACTCAGAAATCCGCCTGCCTCTGCCTCCCGAGTGCTGGGATTAAAGGCGTGCGCCACCACCGCCCGGCCAGCATCTATTCTTTAATGAAATACTGATGAAATGACTTTTCAACTACTGTTTTCTTTAATTAACTGTCTATTATTTTAACTGATTGCTCAACTAGCAGTAGATTCTACTATGAACAACCCAACTCCACACTCGTTCACTGGATGGAGCACAGGGAAAGAGGCCCACTTACAAGACTCCTAGCTTTCAAAGCCCGTTCATGTGCATGTGGCCATCACAGCGACCGGAGACAAAGGTTTGGCAATATGGCTCAATGTGGCAAGAGAGGCTCCAGAGGAAGGGGGTCCACCCCAGCTATGGGATGAGGCCTGTCTGAGCGACATATATAGGTCCAGGCTTGGATCTGAGGAGCATCCTGGAGCCTTCAGGAACCCTGGCCTTAGGCCATCCGAGCAGCAGCACAGACTCCCTCAGGAGGCACCTGGGGCCTTCTCAAAGACACCACTGCTGGGCTCAGCGGCAGGGTCACTTCAGTGACATGTTCACTCGTCATCTCTGACCTGCCTGCTCTGTGCCATTGACCTGAGGTCACAGCAAACTTCTACCACTGTGCACCTAAAACAACTCATCGCTCAAAAAGCTGCATCATCTATTTGGATTTATTGCCTTCTTTCTTTTTTCCTGTCATGCTGGGGACTGAACTCAGGGCCTCGCAGTTTTGGGAAGTGTTCTTCCTCTACAGAGGACACTGTCCCTGCAGGGAATGTCCCACACCTCACCTCTTCCCTGGCCTTCCTCTACAGAGGACACCATCCTGCAGGTTTCACTTATTCTGCCCTGGGAACCCACAGCTGTACAATTTTGGGGATACAGGGGAGAAAAAGCTCAGCAACATGACAGTCCACACATAAAGGACAGGGAGAAAGAAATTCTTAATCTCGGGGAGGGCGAGCAGAGCCCTGGCTAATGTACCATGTCCCTCTGTAGTGGCTTAGTCAAGTATATAGGCTATTTCCTAAAAACAAAAACAAACAAACAAAAAACAACAACCAACACCAGGCTTCACTGAAGCCTGCCACATCCCAGAACAGGCACATAAAGACCTGAAGCAGTCACGAGCTGGGCCTGGTGCTGCATGCTTGCAATTACACACGTCACTTGAAAGGGTAAAGCCAAGCAGTCAGAGTGTTAGAAGCCAGCCTGGGCTATACAGACCCTTCTCAAATATTAAAGCAAAGCAAAACAAAACCAACCAAACAAGAAATGCCCTCTAAACATGCAGAAAGATGAACTTTCCAGAGATTACTCAACTAACCAGACCTTAAACTCAAGTTAGTACGTAATTCTTTTATGACATTTCTTGAGCTTCCTTTGCTATGCTCGGTTTTCTGGTTTTAACTAATAAAGACTGAGTCACAGCACTTACGGCCCGTGCAGCGTTTCCAGTGCTCCTGCCCCACTGTCAGCAGCTCCTTCACGCCGTCATCCATGGCCTTGGTGAATTTCCCCACAGCGTCACACTTCTGTTCTCTGGGAGCAGAGACAGCTGTCACTCATACCAGCAATGCCAGAGACACACAGACCAAACACAATGTCCAGCCAGTTTGATCCCAACAGCACCACAAACAAGATTCCGCTTTGTGGGCGCTCCATGGATGCTGGTGTCTCTGTGCCACCTCATCCCGTCAGACTTTACTGAAGACAGCCAGCACTATGCCAACAATGGAACAGACCTTGAGAACGTGGGGCTTAACCTGCTGAGGTAGGTGGGACTTCCCTGGACACCATCTAACTGTAAACCCCCACTCAGCCATAAATTCCTCTCTCAAGATATGAATTACAGCTGCTGCAACCCTAGCCAAGACAGTGAGCCAAAGGAGACAGGCAGACTAAGAAGGAAAGCCAGGCAGTGGCTCTTACATTTCTATCAAATCCAAGTCAGGAGCCTCTGGTTCCATGGTGGAAAATATCATAACTCCCACCAGCTCGTCTTTCTCAGCCTTCCTCTTTCCCGTCTTCCATTCCTGAAAGTGAGGACATGGCAGTGTTACAGCACCACAGGCCGATGCTCGCACACCTCAGCATCACGGCACGGGCAGAGCGTTCTTAGGAGACATGTCTCTGGGACTGGACACTCAGTCACAATTTTGCAATGGCTTCCAACATAAACACAGACTATAAATATCCTCTATGAGACTCTTTGACAAAGTTAACTCTTTTCTCTCCATAAAAGGATATTATTTTTTCCTGTTATATGCATGTGTGCACCTGAGTGTAAGCAGGTGCACATCATGTGTACAGGGCACACTGAGTAAGGGCATCAGACCTGTGGACTTGCAGACCGGGTGAGGTGGCAGGCCGGGATCCACCCTCCCTGCTTCCTGAGCTCTGGGATTCCAAGGGCTTGTCACCATGCTTGACTTGCTCTTCTTGGTGTCTTTTCTGGGTTTCCCCAGTCCCCACTGGTGAGCCTAACGGTTACTCTTTTCCTTTGATTTTTCACACATGACATCTTAATTAGGTCCTTTTAAAATTCTACCAGTTGACTAAATGCAAAAATAACTTGGTAACATTTTTCCCTGGGTCATACTATAATAAAACAGCACTTGCTGTTACTTTTGAACTGACCCATGGTTTCTCTTCAGTTTTTATGAATTGTGTGTAAAGTTACAAAGGCAACATCTCTGGAGCACAGTGTGAGCCATCAGGAGAGGGCTGATTCCAAAGCCAGCAAGGAGGAGCCATTCGGCAGCTTCTCCTTGCTTATCACAAGGAACCTCTGGGCACTGGCCGAGTGCCTGCTAGGCAGCAGGCGGTGTGAGCCCAGCCTTTACTGTGGACGTCCCACCTCTCCTACGGCTGATGCACCGTCAGTCTCAGTCCCTACTTTCCTTCATGGTGCTGAGGCACTGGGAGCCCAGGGACTCAGACAACTCATGTAGCCTACTCTCCTCTCAAGGCCCACATTTGGGGTTTATCCTCCCCACGGCCGAGTGTGTGGTACGTGTGTGTGTGTGTGTTTGGGGGCGGGGGTTCATGTGCCAGCACACATGTGAGAGGAAGAGGATGCCTTGGGTGGCCTGCTCTACCTCTTTACAGCGTATGCTTCTGAGACACAGCCTCTCACTGACCCTGGAGCTAGGATGGCAGCCAGCAAGTTCCAACAATCTGTTTCCACACCTCATAATGCTGAGGTTACAGGTATGTGCTATAATGTGGGCGCTGGGGATCTGAACTCAGGTCCTCATGCTTGTGCACCAAGTGTTCTTCCTGAGCCCACTTTAAAGAGCATGACGGAAAACACATCACGTCTAAGCATAGTTGTTCTTGTCTGTGCCCCACCCACCCTGGGCTAGCTACTCCAGCGTACAGAAGCCTGCTAGACTGCACTCTTCCTGTATCTGGGATTTAAGGTTTCTGTCCCTTTAAATAGCCAACATTGCTCTGGCCCACTTCCGACATAAAGTGTCACGGTGGCCGTGTCAGCACCACTTCCCTGACTGGGGTACTAAGCTACACTTGCCTTCTCATCCCGGAAATTCAGGAACTGCTGGAACACTTCACTTTCCGACACCACGGGGTGCCGGCACATCCGGGTCATCCAGGCCTGGAGCCGCTCCATACGCATTTTGATAAATTCCTCTTCAAAGCGACCTAGAAGAGGAACACCAAGCGTGACGCACACAACTCCTTCTAATGAGTGTTAAACGGAAGCGCCTGTGAGTGCTGGACACTTGGCAGAAAGCTGTTCTGTAAAGGGCTCAGAAATCCACAAGAAGTATGCTAGACTATTTTATAGGTGTATGTGTGTGAACATAGCACGTGTGTGTGATATATGGACCGTGTGTGTCTGTGTGCACATGGGATTGATGGAGGCCGCAGGACAGTGTTGAGCATCTTGTTCCATCACTCTCCTTTGAGACAGGTCTGTTAATGACCTAAAGCTAGGTTGGCGACCACATGCCTCAGCCCTCCTCCTGTCTCCACCCCTGTAGTGTTAGTGCTGGGCTGACAGCTCTGTGTGGTCATGCCTGGCTTCTTAGGTAAGTGCTGGAGATCCGAGCTTGGGCCCTGTGCTGTGTACCAATTGTTCTTATCCACTGAGCCATCTTCCTAGCCCTGACTCTTTAGTTTTCAAGAATGAAACTTCAGGGCTGGAGAGACGGCTCAGTGGTTAAGGGCACTAACTGCTCTTTCAGAGGACCCAGTTTGGTTCCCAGCACCTCCACGGTGGCTCCTACAACTTCAGTGATCGGAAACCTCTTCTGACCTCATGGGCTGTTCCAGGAGATCCAGCACTTCTTCTGCATGTGCACAGTGCATATACATCCACTCAGGCACATGCACACAAAATAATAAATAAATAAATAAATAAATAAATTTTATAAATGAATGAAATTTCAATTTAACACATTAACAAATACTAATGTTGGCAAGACAAACAACAATGCTAATTGCAAAGAAACATCTCAAAATGAAAAACCATCTCTAGTTTATAATCCGTTCTTAGGCCAGTTCCTGGGCAGGCTTTATGGGCAATAAAGGAGTGGTAGGTGAAAGCTACCATGCTTTTCTTATAAAGTAGACGAGGCTTTAACGGTTACATAGTATGTCTAGTTGTAATGTAATATTGAAGCACGGAAGTACTTAACGTTTGCAGTCAGTACTTTGGAAAAGTAACCTGGCATGTCTATAATACAACACACAGGAGGTTGTCAGAAGAAGTTAGTGGCCAGCCTAGGTTATACAGGCAAACCTTACCTAAAAAGTAAACAAACAACACTCCATAAACACACACACACACACACACACACACACACACAGGGGTGGGATGAGGGGGTGAGTGTGCACATTCCCTGAAGACTAACTTTGTTCTCACTTTTTTGTTGCTGTTTTTAGTTATTATTTTTTAAAAATTTTTATGTGTGTGCATCTCTGCCTGCATACATATGCCTATGTACCACATGTGTCCCTGATGCCCAAGAAGGCCAGAAGGTGATGTCAGACCCTTTAGAACCAGTTTATAGGCAATTGTGAGCCACCATCTGAATGCTGGGACTTGAACACAGGTTCTCTGAAAAGCAGCAAGTGTTCTTTGCCACTGAGCCATCTCTGCAGCCCTTCTATTTTGTCTTAACTGGCAAAGGCAATCATCCCATGACCATACCTACCCTAGAGCTAACGGCCACGCTCACACAACTGTTCCAGTTTTACAAGGAGAGCTTGGCAAGCATGACACAGCCAGCACCAGTCAAGCAGAGACCTGACGATCCCATGAAACAAACTCAGCATCAGCTGAGAGTCTGAAGACAGGAACTCCAACACAGCTCAGGGAGGACCTCAACTAACCAAATCTCCAAGAACCAACAGGAAGCTGTATGATGTCACCAAAACAACCATAGCCCCTGGAAGTCAGCAAAGACAGACAGCTATCTGACAGTGGTTTTTGTCAGCAAAGACAAGACAGGCATCTGACAGTGTCTTCTGCTGGAAAAACTGCTCAACTTCCACCAAGAACAGTGAGACTCTGTGGCATCTGGGCTGTCCCACCTCTCTGCTACTGTAGACCTCCCTAGTCCTCAGAGGCCATGCAGGCAAAGCAGACTGGAGATCGGCTGTCGGGATCAGCTGTCGGGATCGGCTGTGGCATCTGTGCCACAGGAGGAGAAGGCTCATGTGACGTGGAGTGAGGAGAGATGACCGTGCTCACTAACACTGGTGGCAGGGTCAACTTCAGAGGTGACGAGGGAAAGCCAGTGGCTGTGCTTAGCCAAGATGGCAGAACCAAGCACATGCTAGGCTCAAGTTCTCTGGAACAGGAAACTAGACTGTGTCTAAGTCACATGCTCCTGCCCAACCATGAGACCGAACATATGCAAAGAAGATAGAAAAGGGCCTAGGTAGAAAGGAAGTGAGACATGGTGAAATAGTACAGGATACAAAGTAGGTTAAGGTAGCAGGATTACCTGAGTCCAGAAGTTTGGGGTGAGCCTGAGTGCTATTTTTGATTTTTTTTTTAAAAAAACGTATTTTTAATAAGGGTTTTTAATGTTTTTTTTTAATTTATTTATTTTATTTATGAGTATACTGTAGCTGTCTTCAGACACACCAGAAGAGGGCATTCAATCTCATTACGGATGGTTGTGAGCCACCATGTGGTTGCTGGGATTTGAACTAGGACCTCTGGAAGAGCAGTCAGTGCTCTTAACCGCTAAGCCATCTCTCCAGCCCCCGGGTTTTTAATGTTTTAACTTCTTTTTTAGCCCACCACCCACCAGAGGTAGTGGAAAAGAGAAGTTATCAAGATACAGGGGAAGTAGACCTGTTTATAAGAAATAGTTGTTTGGAGCAAATCCACTATGCATTGTCAGGACGTATGTCAGCTGTCTAGTTTAGTAGTGTCAGGAGGGCAAACAGGAATTAGCATCGGTGGCATGACCTCCCTCACTGAACCGGCTCGAGTTAGCAGGACCGACCAGGACCAGCAGGGATGCCAAGTGATGTTCTCTGCCGCCATGTGTCTCTCAACAAAGTGAAGATCAGCGAAGGTGCAAGACCAACGAAGCGTTGTAAAGCTATGACGTTGTAAAGCGTTGTAAAGCTGGCTATGACGCCTCTGTCACTGTCTGTTGGATTTTAGTTATATTCCCTCCAAATATCACGTGTTCTCCCATGGGTCTTGCCTGACCATGTGCGTCTATCTTAGCAAAACTCCACGTGAGTCTGTGTCAGCTGACATCACTCTGCCAATCAGCCCAAGTTGTAGACAGACCACCACCAGAAGTTTTTTGGTATTTTTTAAATTTTGTTTTGTTTTCTGAAGTCACTACAGATGATGACCATTAAGGAATGGCAAGGCATACCAATACCATCTAGCATCGCCCAACGTCTGTCTGGTCCTTCTTAATATCATGCATCTTTTCATGTGTTTGCTTTAACAGAACATCCTTTCTCCTGTGACTACTTCAGAAAACCACTCCTTCATCCGTCTGCCCCAGCAAAACATCATCTGACCAAAGAAAACCATGTTTCCACTGCACCTGGGCAAGTCAGTAAGACCTTATTTCCAGAAACAAACAAATACTACCCCTCCCAAACAAAAACAAAAGGAAGGACTAGGAGAAGTAAAGGCTGGGGATAACCTGAAGTGACCTGAGCTTTGCATGCCCTCTACTTCCTGTAGTCACACCAAGAGAGCAAAGAACCCACACCAGCATGGTTCTGTCCAATCAATCCCAGGCTTCCTGCCAGTCTGTGTGGAGGAACAAACTTATCATGTCACTGAGTTGTTAGCTAGGCAGAGTTCTGTGATTCAGGCTAGGCCAATTCCTTATGCAAATAAAATACAAACAACCACCTCCAGAGAGGCAGAATCCAGAGCTGCTAAAACAGATGCTTAACAAGGTCCAGTTTTCATTAAAAACAAAAATAAACACTTTTAATTTCACACTCAGGAGGCAGAGGCAGTGGGATTGCTGAGTTGAAGGCTAGTTTGGTCTATAGAGCAAGTTCTAAGACAGCGAGGGCTATACAAAGAAACCCTGTCTCAAAACTACTTCCCACCCCCCCCCCCAAGAAAGATTAAATAAAAACAATCAGCCAAAAAGATAGGACCTACATTGAAGAAAAAAAAATCAGTCAATAGAAACCGTTACCAAGTGTTGCTATACGTTGAGTTTAGCGGACAAAAAAAATCAAAGCAGTTTCTTTATGTTCAAAGAACTACTGGAAAAATTAACAGGCAACATAACCAGTAAGCAATAATCAGCGACCCCAAAGGAGGCAGAATTACAGAATGGAATTTCTAGAGTTCACAGTGCAGGAACTGGACTAGAAAGTTCATCTCAGGAATCAATAAGAGGTACAAGATGGCAGAAGCCAGGCCCTCTAAGTCAAGAGTGGCCACACTCCCACGAAGCAGAGCTAAAGCAGCGAGACTGAAACAGAAACCATGATCTACAGCAGCCAGGCTGGCCTGTGTGGGAGTCAGCAGATTTAATGGCTAACTTGCCACATGGACAATGTAGGCCAGAAGGCAATGGAAAGACACTCACTATGCAGCATGAAAAGCCAGAAGCTAAAGATCCCATGACCAGCAGAGGCACTGGGTTTGAACCCATGTGATGGTTCACAACCATCTGTAATTCCAGTTCTAGGTGATTCAATGCCCTTTTCTGGCTTCTGTGGGCATGAGGCATGTGTGTGGCACACAGATATGCATGTAAGCAAACCACCCACACTTATGAACACACAGAGGAAACAAGTCCAGAAACAGATCACACAAATAAATGACCAAGTGAATCTGTACAAAGGGCAGATGCAGTGTATCAGGGAAAGGAGGCCTTCTGAGCACCCGGAAGCAAACAAGTGGAGCTCAACCCCTGCTGTGCCTCCAACACACAACTTCCATCCTAAGCACGTCAGACACCCATGCAGAACCCGAAGCCATCCAACTTTTAGAAAAATGTATCATGAGCTGAAGTTAGACCAAGAGGTTTCAGATACAATACCAAAAGCACAATTCATAGCCCCCTGAAATGCTAGATGCTAAGGTTTGAAATTAAACACCCGCTGCAGACACTCGTGGTCGACACTGAGACCCTAGCTTGTGGGAATGGGGGTGGAGTGGATTCCTGGAGGTGTCCCTGGAAAACATCCCTGACTCCCTTCTCCACTTTTTGCTCTACCATGCGCAGGCATGGAGAAGCCTCTGACATGTGAGCCCAAAGCATCATTCCTTGTTTAATTAAACTGTTCCTTTCAGGTGTTTGTCACCATAAGAGATAGGCTAAGCAAGACAAGGGATTTCCTAAAATTAAACGCTTTTTCTACACATTGTTAAGAGAACAAAGAGGCAAGCTATAGTTGGGGCAAGCACTGCACATCACACATCTGATAGAGAACTGTTTCTACAACATAAAGAACAAATTCAACAATAAAAAATAGACTAACAAATTCTATTTTAAAAAAGAACCAGTTTTGAACAGACACTTTACCAAAAAAGACATATGGGCAGACATAAGGTATGAAAAGATTCTCTATACAACCCATCAGTAAGGAAAGACAACAAAACCAGAATACCACATGCTTATAGGACTGGTCAAGCAGAATCAATGAAAAATGGATATTACCAAGTGTGGGTGAAGATGTGGAAACATGGATTTTCATATATCGCTGATATGACTCCAGAACTGCACAGCCAGTCTGAGAGACTCCTAAAACAATGCAAACCAACTGATCTATTTGTTCTACTGCTGGGAATTTACGGAGGAAAATGTGTTCATGTTGATATAAAAACCTGATTGCTCGGCGGCATGGCGTATGTGCCTGTAATTGCAGCACTCAGGGGCTTCGGCAAGAGCAGTGATGCCTGAGGCCAGCCTGGGCTACGTAATGAGTCCCAAGTTAGCCTGTGAGCCTGTCTCAAAAACAAATAAAACTAAGAACAAACTATCTAAACAGGCAATGCTAGCAGCTTCACTTGTAACTGCCTGGAACTAGAGGTTCAAATGTCTTTCAATGAATGGAAGGATGAAGAATTACTGTGTATCTGCACACTCTAGTAACAGCAATAAAGAAAAAGTATTGATATAACAAATGGAGTGAATCTCAACGGCACTGTTTCCATTCATGATGTATTCCAGAAAAGAGAAATACAGCAACAAAGAACAGACGCTGCCAAGGACAGGACCAGAGGAAGGAGCTGAAACAGAACGATAAGCACCATGACATTTAAGAGGTTACAGAACCACCCTGTGCTGCAAGACAAGTATGTCACAGGACTATAATAGTAGTTACCAAGATCTGTAGAACCCCACACCAAAGAATACATTTTTTTTGTTTGTTTGTTTTTCGAGACAGGGTTTCTCTGTGTAGTTCTGGCTGTCCTGGAACTCACTCTGTAGACCAGGCTGGCCTCAAACTCAAAAATCCGCCTGCCTCTGCCTCCCAAGTGCTGGGATTAAAGGCGTGTGCCACCGCTGCCAAGCCAAAGAATACACTTACTGCATACAATTTAAAAGTAAATTTTCAGAAAATGTAGCCTCAACTTTCCTTCAGAAGAGTACATAGGAGTAAATCTTCCAGTAAGAGAGAGCCATCTACCGGCGGTATGCTACAACAAGTGGCAGTGAACACATGGGTCCCACACAAAGCCTCTATATAAAAGCACTGCCAGCTGCACACTTAGGAGCACAGAGCAAGTACTCCATACAATAAAGGATGTGGAACCCAGTCTCAGCCTTGAGAAAGATGGCAGCCTTCATCACAGAAGGGACCTGGTAGATGTATGTACCTGGGACACACTGAACTTCCTCTGGAGCAAAAAAAATCAGTACCTGAGTTTATTACTTAGTCAATAAGTGAAAGTTGATCATTTTTATTTAGCAATCCTCCTTGTAGAAATCTTTGAGACCCAACTGGCTTAACTATGACTTTGCATAGTATTTTATGCTTACTAGGTTAAACCAGGATCCAGAGACTTGTAAGCAAGAGAATGGAAGGGACTTATGTTTATCTATTTTTCCCAAACCTTACCTAAGCTTTCACTAAGTGTGAGAAAATATTATTTGGAAACCCCAAAATACAACCTGGTTGACCCTCACAAATAACAAACAAAATGTACAAACAGGATGTCATCTATGAACTCCTAGGACGAGCATCGTGACAATGTCTCCCGCACTTCCTCTTGCTTTTGTCTAGGAGTGCAGCGAGGGTAGTCTAAACACAGTGCTGATGCTGTGGGTGCCACAGGCAGGAGACACAGGGACATAACGCTGTCCTGTGCCTCTCAATGTCCTCGGCACACCTCCAGAGAGTAGTCAAAGCCCCACTTTCTTCAGACTGAGGCTGCTGCTTGCTGTGCTGTGCCATGCCTTGGCTGCATGCCTGAGCCTCCTCTGCGCCCTTTTAAAAACACTTAATGTGGAGGTCCTGTAAACTCTGGAAATATTGCCGTGTGTTTTAAATCAATACTAAATTCCTTGGCTGAAAACCTTGGCCTATTCATTTATAGACAATGAAGCACATGTTACTTCAATCTAGTACATAAAAGTAGAGTATAAAATTCAAGGACACAGTATAAAATTTAAAACACAAAAGAAGTGGAAAAAAATGTAGAGTTTAAAAAATAAAGCAAAAAGGGTGGCTAGCAGGAAGGAGCATGATCTAAACCAGAGGTACAGTGGTCTGAGGGGTGTTGACCCTCTGAGTGCCACGGCTACGGCAGCCATGCACCTGCACCTCCACTCTGCACCTGCACTCTCCACTGCCTGGCACCAGCCCTATGGAAACACTGCAGCATCACTCAGAGGACCGCTGGGATGATGTACTATGAGACACTGGAGCATCACTCAGAGGACCGCTGGGAGGAATCTATCTACACACACACACACCCCAGCGCAGTGCGGCAGAGTCTGTCTCTTGTTTGGGTCTGAAGCTTTTGTTTTCGTTTTAGGTTGTTCAGATAACTTCTGTTTTCTAAGGTTCCATTTTTCACACTTAAAAAGGTACATCTGGTAGAAGGAAACAAAAACAAGGACTTTTCTAGAATTCAAGGTGTACATGCAGCTCTCTGAGAGCAAAGTTTGCCTTAAGTTTCTATTAGATGTTCAGGTAACTTCCACACTCATGTACAGTCTCTTCACAGTGTCGGTAGTCACCACTCACACCTGCCTATCAGCAGGGTGACCTGCCTCTAGCTCGATACAGTCACACTGAACGGTACTGCTCAAACTCACCTGTGACCTGCTTGTCTGGGAGAGAAGGGATCGGAATGGCGGACCCAAACTTAACCAGGAGACGCTCATATAACCAGTCAAAGTGCTTATATCTGTGGTTTACAGATCGGTTAGTGTTCTACAAAATAAGGGAAAGAGGCAACAGCATTACTAATGCCAAGGTCTGAAACGGAAGAAAAGGCAAGCCGCAGCCAGCTTTGTGTTGAGAGCAGGTACTCACAGTAGGCGTTAGCTGATACTCAATGTAGCTCTTCAGACCGTACATTTTGGAACCTTTCCGAGGATCAGCTACCACACAGTCAAACGTAGAGGTAGGATAAACCCACATAGGGCCATAATCTCCAACCTAAGCAATGAGGCAGGACAAGTTAATTCTGTAACTTGGGAGAACAGTAACACAGCTACAACAGCAGCGATGAGTTCTGCTCAGAACTGACAGTCCTAGGACAGCCACTCTCGCTCCTACGGAAGAACTGGCAGTCCTAGGACAGTCACTCTCGTTCCTATGGAAGAACTGGCAGTCCTTATGGCTGCCATTCTCAACTCCTACTGGAGAAGGAAGAAGGGGTCTGTAGTCCCAGCACACATCACATCTGAAAACCACAGTTGTCGAGATGAACCCATCCCTTCCATGCAGACATCTTGCTCATGAAGAGAACTGGGCCACACCTAGAGAGCTGGAGTATAGAAGCTCTCCCTGTACAATTTAAAGTTAAAAAAAAAAAACCTTTAACATTGACTTTTTTATGAAAACAAAAATTTACATGTCAGGGTTTGTTAGTGATGTCATATACTCAGGTTTTGTACACACTTTCCTCTGGTTTGTAACTTAGTACAGGGCTAACTGGTGAAACAATTTTCAAATACGTAACTGGTCTATGTAAGATGCTTGGAGCAACTTGAGATTGGCCACAGCCTGACAGCCATTATTTCAGCCATGGTGTGTTAGGGTGTTCTGTTCCTCAAAGTCAAGACCCAGAGATGGGTGTGGTGGTACACGCCTGCAATCTCAGCACTTGGGAGGCGGAGGAACGGGAATCATTTAGTTAGACAGCTACACAGTAGCCCTGTCACAACCAAAACAAAACAACAGACAAAATAAAATCCAAAAAAGGGAAGCAAGGCCCAGGCTAACTACTTTCCCCTGGGACTCCTGTGCTAGTGTAGAAACACAGTAACCAGCTTGCTGCTGTCTCCAAGCAGGGAGTCGGGACTCCAGGACTCCAGGACTCCTAGGCAATGCTTGCCAGACTCTCCCTACCCCCCAGGACCCCGTACGTTGTCCACCTACGACAGAGGTACAGGTTCAAAAGGTCTGGAGAGGTTTCTCAAACTTGTACTATCCCAGGGGTTTGCCTGGGGTGGGGTGAAGAAGGGGATATTATCTGAATTCCACACAGGGTATAGAGAACTGGCATGTTAGTCTTGAGCTCTGATCATCTCTGCTACCCCAAATCCAGTTGCTTTCATCCTGTTTAAAATTGCAACCAAGGCTAGAGAGGATATGGAGCTCCATGGATCCCAAGGCTAACACCTGGGCTCATAGCAATCCTGCCTGCAAAGTTTTGAGTTGGTTCTGGTCCATCAATTCCCAAATGGACAGAAAGGGTTACAGATCTGAAAGCTCCAAATTAAAGGCAGTGGACCTTACAAAGAACATACAAGGAGAGATGGATATGGTGGTCCATGCCTGTAATCCTAGAACACGGAAAGTGAACAGAGGAGGGTGAGCTCAAGGCACTATCTCAGCTACACTGAGACCCTGTCTCAAAACAAAAATAAAAGCAAAAACCTCTCAAAACTAATCAAAGAAAATAAACAGCACAAGTCCTTACTGCCTTAAGAACATCTTGTCTTCCTGGACTAGAACAGAAAAATAAAGTGAACTTTGTAATTTGGGGATAAGGTAAAACACTAACATATTGTCTCCAAATCCAACAGTGTGTCTAGCAAAGAGACTCATACTCATAAAGCAGGGCATCTGTTGCTTTCGTTGTCTCTGACAGTCAACTATGCCGTCCTTGCTAGCCCAGAGCTCACTACACAGGCCTTAAACTTGCAGTAGTCCCTGTGCCTCTGTCTCCTGAGAGCCAAGATTGCAGGCAAGCGCCACCGTGGCCAGCACCACCATGGCCATCTCTAAAACAGGTTTTAATCTTGCACTGAGGGAAAGCATGGTGAGAAGTAAAGAGAACATGGGGAAAAGATGGGGCTGAGGAGAGACCTATGCAAGATGAGACCGGCTCAGCAAACAAGGTTAGCACACGCCAGGGGGCAGGAAGAACGCCATCTCTCATTCTGTGCGGAGGAGGAAAACACAGGATGGGATCACTAAGTCAGGAGGTGGCTGATGACTGCAGATGGTTACTATGGAACCAAAGAGGTCTCTAAGAACACACAATTAAGCTGCCTCAGGGGCCATGTCCAAGAAGCTCTGCTGAGCTTCTTCAGTAAGGTACCAGCGGGCCTATCTTAGCAGTAATCCTCTGTGAAGAGGACAAAGGGCCTGGATCCCCAATGTTACCAGACCTTATGTTATCAGTGAGTAATGCTAGTTTTCAGCCTAAGCACAAACTGGGTTTCTGTCTCTTTTCCCCGCCTCCTGAAGACTCAATGGCTTTCCTCTTTCTTTTGCTATGTGAGAGGCTGCATCAGTAGCCTGCCCATAGGTTCATGGGTCTACCACTCCCAAAACTCATGGACAGCGTTCTGTTCTATCATAGTCACAACTGTGACAAATTCCACACTAAAGATGAGGGGCAGGCCTCCACTCTTAGCCTACAGAGCTTTAGATTTAATGAGAAGACTTGTGATGTATGTGTTTGGTTTTTTTCCCAGCCTGGCATAAAGATTCAAATCTTCTTAACTATTCAGAAGATAATCATCACAGGTGTGCTTTGGAAGGACAAGTGGTACAAGGGGCTTTGGATGCTGCACTTCTATTTGGAGATTCCTAGTGTCTGAAACTTTTTACAGATGAGAGAAAGTAATTAAAGGATCCATTATCATCCCTGGTATTTTATCATGCATCCCTGAGGCCAGAGATTACAGCAGAAGGCTGGTGGTTCCTTCTGCTCATCTGCAACCATGGTGATACTACATCCAAGGCTTCCCTCAGCTACAGTTGAGTCAACAAGGTTGCAAAATAGTCACAGCTCTTCCCCCCACCCCTGGCCCCTAGAATTTCACGTGGGAATTCACTAGGTATTGCCTAGATAAAAACCATATTAACCATCTGAGTACTGGATGAAACCACAGAGCCTCTGCCATATTATATAACAATCACCTTACCAAGACAGATTAAATTGTTAATGGTGCCATTAACTCCCAGCTTCATTTGCTAGCCCCTTATCTTGAGCTGACAGCCGGTTTACTGGAGAAATTCTATTACCGGCATACTGGAAAAGCACCTTATTCTAATTCTGTGCTTCTACTTTCATCAGGGTAGAAACCTAAATATCTGAGCTGAGCCTACTGGCTGAATAAATAAGGCTGGCATGGAAACAGAACATAAAATGTGCCCTATGTCTTAGAGTCTCTGACATTTTGGAAAAGAAAATGTACTGAAATGTACGTGTGATGGTTCAACATTAATAGTTGAAAGATAAAAACGGGGAAAACGGAGAAGCAGTAACATTATTGATCTATGCTGATTATCTTTAGTACTCCTAAGACACGTTATCAACTATCTGGGACAGTACAAGTGTGCTTCAAAACACTTCCAGAAAGACTACTGTTCTTAGCGTAGGTATAAAAACTTTAATTAGAGATAAAGGAAACAGACGAGAATGAACACACTTACAATGATGGGGATTTTCTCTTTGGGTTTTGCTAGCTGCTTGGCCAACAAGTACTGCTCCATGCCAGGTTTTGCAAATCCAGGAAATCTGTTCAAGAAGAAAGTCTTGTGAGACTTTGTCCATCTTCATTAAAATTCAATTCTCACCATGTGACTTTAACATGCCAGTTTTAACCCTGTTGTGTCTTTCAGATGGAAAGGTGAAACCAAAGTAATTAGATGGCCTGCTGGCCAGTTAGCCACTCAGTAAAGCTTGAGCCTATGGTTCCAGCAGGTGTGCTGCCCACAGGTTCTCTACCTGCTTAACCACTGACAGAGTAAAGGGCAGAGATGAAGAAAGTTCTCTATCCCCCAAGAAGCAGCATGGCAATCTGAGTTGGCTACTTATAACAATGGCCACTGGCTAACTTCTTCACACCTAAGCACAGTAATATATTAATTTTTGAGCATTATCAAGATGTGTTCTCACAATGCTCCAGGATATTTTAATTTCCAATTTCCCTTTCTGGCACAAGGCTTATGTTTATAGCTAACACATAAAATAAATTGTTGAGTACTTCAAAATACTACGTAAGGCTTTAAGTTCTTTCCCTGAGAGAGACAGAAGTCTTGGAGACACAGGTTTAAATGAGCCTGGACTAATATATTTTCAAATGGCAATGATACTTTAGAGCACAAAGAATCTCTAACTAAACCCAACCTTTTTTGCTTCAGAGATGAGAGATCTGGGTTGAAACAAGTCATCAAACTCAGAACAAACCCAGGGAGCAAAGTGGGGAGCAAGTGCAGAGCAGAGGGAGGGGCGTGGGGCTCCTGAGCTGGAGCAGAGGGAGGAGTGTGGGGCTCCTGAGCTGGAGCAGAGGGAGGGGTGTGGGGCTCCTGAGCTGGAGCAGAGGGAGGGGCGTGGGGCTCCTGAGCTGGAGCAGAGGGAGGGGTGTGGGGCTCCTGAGCTGGAGCAGAGGGAGGGGTGTGGGGCTCCTGAGCTGGAGCAGAGGGAGGGGTGTGGGGCTCCTGAGCTGGAACAGAGGGAGGGGTGTGGGGCTCCTGAGCTGGCTCCTTTGTTTTGGTGTCTACTTTTCAGAGGACCCAGAGACAAAGGTAGGAGGTAAGAGGGCTCTAAACCCAGTTTACACTTAGGCTGGAAGAACAGCTGAGAGCAAGCCCATCACAGCCAGTCTTCCTGAGTCTAATGATGGCCGTGGACGGCCATGACTAGAGTTATTATGCCCAGAACTGAGCACAGACACCGTAAAGCAGGAAACTGGAGAGGCAAATGCATGTGGTCTGCGAGCTCATTTAGCCTGTGTTATGTAAACAGACTATGGAGACCTTGCAGGCCTCAAGACCTTGATCCTAATCTCCAGAGATATGCTAAACACAAGGCTTTCCAGAAAAACAAGTCAGACACAAATTAACATTCTTTGAATCCTCTGTGAATTGCAGACCTAGCCTACAGGGACAAAGTATTGACAGTTTAGGATACACTTCCTTAGTATGACTGCTGGGAGAACTTACTAATGTCATTCCTTATGCACTTTCTCCAACCTCCAAACCCCTCAGCAGTGCTTCCTTATCCACAAGCAGTGAATCTCCACATTCCACAAAAGTACTTCTCTTCAACTAAGAGAACTTTAAGTAAGTAAAAACACACACTAGAAACCCATTCCACAGAGTCTGGGACCTTGTGCTCTGGGTCCTGAGAGCCTGGACCCTGACTGGCTCAGCAACCATCAGTGCTAATGTGAGCACTGTATCCACCCTAGGCTCCAGCTTTCCTTTCAGTAAACAGGAACGTCATATTCTACCAAGGGGTCTGAGGGTGCCCATGAGCTACTTTGCACAATTCCTGGCACACAGGAAGTGATTAATAAAACAGCTAAACATTGAGAGAACTGTTATTTTTTAGCTTTCCATAGCTAAAAATATTTCTTAATAACAATTATTTTTTATTGGTGAAATATTAATATATCATGGCGCTTATAAGTAAAGCAATAAAAAGTATTTTGAAGGGTGTTTTGGAGGCCCAAGCTAGCCTCAAACTTGTTACATACAGCCGAGGATTGTGGGCATTGCAGGTGTGTCCTGCTGTGCTTGGCTTGAAGACTTTTTAACTAAATAAACGCTTCACTCATTAACCCTGCAAAACTAATGAAATCGGCTTCTAATCTAAGACTAAAGGCCAAACAAGACTCAAAATTTAGTAGATTACTAGTAGTAGAATAGAAAAGAGTCAAACTTCTCTTATATTACAGAGAGACAGAGACAGAGAGAGCGCAAATGTGCGCGCACACACACACACGCTCACACACGCTCACACACACATGCACGCTTATCTGCATCCTTGGCTCCCCTTTACACTTACTTGTTGAGGGGCAGCTTCATGGAAGAGGCGCCTGCACGACTGTTTCCCCGCTGGATGCCTCCTGCTTCAGCTGGTTCTGAATCCTTAAAGTAAGGTGAGGAGGACTTGGGGTCGTCCCAATCTTCGTCCCATTCATCATCATCACCAGTTGCTACAGGGAGGGAAAACAAGAACGAAACATAGGTGGGAAGCCTGACTCTGAGTGCCGACTGCTCGACTGCTCAAGATAGCTAGTGTGGGAGATGGGAACAGAGCACAGCCTGGACCTCACGTGGATCTGAAGAGCACAGGCTTTGCAGTCAGCCTTAAGCCTTGACCTCTGAATTCTGTCCTTTTTTCTGAATGCAAAGGACACATCAGAAATAGGTTAAATAAAGCAGTTAGGGTAACAAAATCTTGACAAGTGCCTCAGGTGACACAATAGACAGTATCTTCAGTCAGTGGCATTGGGAAAACTGTATCTACTCACAATAATAAAATCAGACCCCTACCTTATATCATATATAAAAGTCAACAGAAAATCAGTTACTTAAACATTAAGATCCCAAACCATAAAACTCCCAGAGGACAATGGAGACAAATCCGCTGACACATCCTCAGCACTATGCTTAGGTGTCACCAGAGTCGGGGAACTAAAGCAAAGGTAACAGATAGGGCCACATCAAGCAACAGGCTTCTGCACAGCACAGGAAGCAGCACTGGACTGGTAATCAGGTGCTATGGATAGACCAGAGTACTTGGTATGTGATAACGGGTGAGTATTTCCAAATATACAGGGAACTCTTAGATCAATAGTGAGGGGATGGAGACATGGCTTAGCAGTTACAGCACTGGCTGCTCCCAGCATACAAATAGTGGTTAACAGCAGTCAGTAACTCGGCTCCAGAGGATCCAATGTCTTCCCCTGGCCTCTCAGAGCATTGCACACTCACAGTGTACAGACATGCATGCAGGCAAAACATTCATACATAAACCAAAAGTAGATAAAAATCTAAAAGCAACCTACCCCTAACAATTCAATAGTGAAAAAATAAAAAACCATGGACCTTCTTACTCAGGCTTTTCTTCCTGTAGTTTCATTCTCTATGGGCAACTATGGCCTGGGACAACAGCAGGGATGTGGATGGGGTGGGGAGGGGATGCAGGGATGTGGATGGGAGGGTAAACAGTGCAACTTTCAGGAACAAGTCATGAGCTCTTATGCACAGCTTGGGGTAATTGTCAGTGTTAGTATTATATACTGGAAGACAGCATATATATGTACACATGTATGCACACACATTATGTGTGAGGTGATGGCTATGTTAATTTCAAATTGCAGTAATCACTGCCTTATACAAATCAAAATATCAAAATATGCTGTATAAGCTTAAAGAGTGTGCGTGTGCGTGTGTGTGTGTGTGTGTGTGTGTGTGTGTATGTGTATCTGTGTGTGTAGTTCTGGCTGTCCTGTAATTCACTTTTATAGACCAGAATGGCCTCAACTAACAGATATCCACTGGGCTCTGCCTTCCAAATTCTGGGATTAAAGGTGTGCACTACCATAGCTGCCATTAAATATAGAAAAAAATTTAAAACACTGTTTTTTTTTCTCTGAGTAACTTCTAATTAATGCAGACTACAGCAGTGTGGACTGGTACCCAAGAGAAGCTTTGACAGAAGCAAATTTAATCTTACAAACTTACAAATAAGAAACAAACAAATGAAAACCATCTTAATTCAAAGACCTTAAGGAGAAAAGGATAATATCTCTAAAAACGAGAGTCTAACACAGAGACAGACATGGCGGAAGAGCAGCAAGCGTCCTTGGCTGTCAGGCTCTGTCGTGTCACACAGTCGAGAGGTACGTGCCACAGCAAAAGGGACAAGTCAGAGACAATGAGAACAGAGCAGCCCTGGACCTTCTTAGCTCCAGCGCTGACACCCTTTCTGTGGGCGGGGTGGGATTTGTACCATGTATGTGCATGTGCACATGTGTGTAGTGCTGGCGTGTAAGCACATGGAAACTGGGGGCAGCCTTGGATACTGTTCCTCAACAAGGCCATCCAAATCTTCTCATTTACATTTTACGTTTGTGTTTCTGTGACCACGTGCATGCAGTGACCACGGAGCCCAGCACTGTATCCCTTGGAACTGAAGTTAGAGAAATTGTTAGCCACTGTGTGCATCCTGGAGAATGAAGCCTGGTCCTCTCTGTAAGAGCAACAAGTGCTTTCAACCACTGAACCATCTCTCCACGCCTGGCCACCTTTTTGGGGTTACAGATAGCCTTCTAAATCACTGAGCTGCTTCTCTTTCAGTAAATCTCTCCTGTGCTTAGAATGGACAGTCAGGAGTTGTACACAGAGCCTCCCGACCCAGGCCTCATGGCTGACATTTCCTTCATGACAGAAGTGTCTTCCATTCCAGAGAAGACTTCAAAATTGAACCTCACCACTAGGAAAAAAAAAAAAAAATAAGCCACGAAGGACTGAAACTGAGAGTCTTCATTTCCATCTCATCCTCTGTGAACAGGAGAAGGGCTGGAGATGTAGCAAACAGTCAACCATGTCAAGGGGACCAATCTCCAGAAACCTCTCTGGGCTGCAGGGTTCTAACAGTGGCTCTTTGTTGGTGAGCATGTGCAGATGCTGGCGGTAATGACCCCTGGTCAGCCTGGACACCACCAGGTACGGCAGCAGAGGGCCTGGAAGCGCCACACCTCACCCATGTACCTCCTCATCTGAATTAATGCTTGTTGTATTCTTTGATTTACTCTTAGCAATAAACTGGCATCAGGAAGTCAAGTGAGTTCCTGAGTTTCCTGGGAGGTGCCACTGTTCCAAGGAGAGGGTGTCAGTACTGAATGAGAGTCACTGTGCTGTGCTGACTTAGAGGAAAGCAACATCAGCCTCCTCCTCCTGCCTGTCACTCAGGCAGAAGTGTCCTCTCACCTGGTCCTTGATAGGCCTGCGGGTGGCCGAAGCCCGTGTCCCAGTTGTTGGCACTGCTGTTCCTCTGGGCACCAGTCCCATCTGTCCTAGTGCCCCAGGCATCGGAGCTGTCCCAGTTCCCAGGTTTGGGGGCATTCCAGGCTGACCAGGGGTCATTTCCACCACCAACCTGTGTGGGAAGAGAAAAGAAGGAGGTTTTTTTTTTTTTTTTTTTTTGACTTCTAGAGACTGTGACTCCTTCAGCTATGGGCTGACAGGAGAACTAAGAGTAACACAAGTGCTGGTACAGTCTCTGGACACGGACTGACGTCTCCATGCCCTAACTCGGGGAAAACACAAGAGCACATGATTCGAGCACTGGCTGGCTCCACGAGCAAGCTTCCTGTGTCACCTGGAATGCCACTCTGCAAGCTACTGCCGAGGCCCTTACCACTGACCTAACTGCTCTAAAGTCGGGACTTCTGAGTAGGTCTTAATTATTCCCATTTACAAAAAAGTAAGACAGTAAAAGGAAAAAAAATCACGTGGAGCAAAAGGCAAAGGAGCTGACCAGGCCTGCGGCTTTAGAACATCCACCTGGGTGTATGGCCAACACTCTCTCTCCTGTTCTGTGACTCACGGGTAATGCCTGACCTCTTTAGCTAACCTCTACCCTAACTGAACGTAAGCACTGCTCGGCACCCAGGAGCAATATACTCAACATGTCTGTATAAAGAATAAATCCAAGTTTGTCTTTCCAGCCTTGCTCCTGGAATGACAACTCCGGGACTAATTATCTATTAACAAATGCCTGGGCCATGAGCTTTGCTTGTTCTCGGATGTGCTTTAACTTATCTCTCTACCTGAGGTCAGCTACGTGCCTGCTTTCCCCTCCTTGTCTCCTCAGCATTCCTGGGGTGAGTCTCCCGAGTTCAGCTTTTTCCTCAGTGTCTTCCTCAACGTCTCCCCTTTATTCTACCCTGAGTTCGATTACCTGCTGCTGTATATCTGTCTCCTCCTCAGAGTTGCTACTCAAATCTCTCCTCATTCTATCCAGAGTTCCTCTACTACCACGTTCCGTCCTTTTCCTCAGCATTCCCAGGCGCCTCTCTCCTTGATTCTAACCTGAATCTATGTACCTCCTGGTTAGTTACCTCTCCTTCAGTCCCGGACTCCTTCCTCAGCATACGGCTCTCAAATCTCCCCTGCCTCTCACTATTTCCCAGAAACTTCTCTATCCTTGCTAGATGTCCCACCTTCTACTTCCTCTGTACACTGGCCATAAGCTTTCTTTATTAACAGGTGATACTTATAAGAGATTCTCTCTACAATCTGCCTGTCTGAAACTTTGTTATCTAAACTCTATCAAAGCCTCCTAAGACACAGAGAAATATATATATATATAAATACACACACACACACACACACACACACACACACACACACACACACACA